AATAAATTCTTATGCTCTGACGTTAATTTTTTTAATGCCTAGGATGGACACATAATCAATAAAACCGTTTCCATAATATCTGATTTCTAATGGAAGAAGTCTTCAAGAATTAACACCCAACAATTATTGTCACGCTGTTCAACTAAAAGAAAGCATTCAAAGGCGTAGAGACTATCAACTACGGATGGGTCCATTCTATACAAACACTGTAACCGACTGCTCCCCGAACGTGTCGCTATAATGCAGTTTATCCACTGTCCTCATTGCCTTATGACGAAGGAAGTGGTTCGATTTGTTAACATCATTTCGCCCAATCTCTTCACCGATACATTGAAGGAGAATGTGAGCAGCTCAACTAAGAAGAAAGATATACTCATTCATGAATAATCCTTGTCGAACACTCGCTTTTCCAGAAGGATTTATTTTTGAGAAATTACAAGACAATCAATCAAAGAGGGTCAGTAACACCTAGGACGCATAATGCTTTTCATAAATTAGATACGAAACGGTTAATGGGAAACCCATGGTGAGAAGTATTCGAATCGAGCTGACTTGTTTTTTGACTATGGAGATCACCAGATATTGTACCGTGAGCGTCCAATAAACATGGAAAATAAGATGAAAGAGCAGTTTAGGTGAGGAAGTGAAGCATGTGCTCCGTTCCGACCTCGCAGAGGAGCGATCCCACAACTGAGAAATGAAACAGACCAGATAGTACGCAGTTTTTCCTAGCAAGAATGTAGACTTGCTGAATATGTGTGCGTGTGGTTCTCACGACTCTCAAGGAACTAGTATTCGCATCTAAGGTCGCCGAATAAAAAAGTGTTAAAGCTCTCAGCGCTGATCAATCCCTGAGAGATGGGCCATGTATTCGACTTCAATAAGCATTGTTGGAAGTGATTGAATGCATATCTAGCCTTTATAATAACTCGCGATGGCCTACCGATGTATCGAGCCAGCGATGCTATCCTTCCAGACAAGTCTGGTAACAATTTGCCGACCCTAGAAGGGTGGAAGGCTTGGTGAGCCATGGGCGCGGAAATCAATTCCACACGTGTGTCGCAATGGCGCCTCCATCCACTGCGCCACACACGCCTTATAAAGAACATTCTTCCCGAATATTGGAATGTTCTCTATGTAAAACATTTGAAATATTTTTCAAACATTTCAGCTTTTCTCCATGACGATCTGATAACTTTTCAAACATTTCAAATGCTTCTCCCATGACCTCTTCTCCATGACGAACTGATAGCCGTATGTCTAACACTTCGTTCGCGCCTATCTTATAAAAATATCTGCAGTTACGGTTTTAGGGTTTGAATATCGTTTTATCAGATTGCAGTGTTTGAGAAATATTTCCAGCACCCGTCTTTTCTCCTACTGTAGCCCGACTCTGCCTACTGTTGCCTGACTCCGCTCAGCGCAAAAGGTATATAAACGGCTCCACGGTTAGCTGGCTAGTTCATGTCACAGCAACGCTGCTCAAGTCACCGTATCCTTTCCTCACATCCATTTCGTGTAGTAGAAGTCGTATGCCAATCTCTTCGCTCATAAGCAACCTGAACACCAGTGATCAGGCTGCGCTGTGCCTATTCATTACCTTTATTATTGTTGCATTAGTTGTACAGTTGTATTATTATGCTATAGTTGTTGTATAATTATAATAACGGTTTAATTACCCAAGTTTCAGATATCCGGCATTGTGGCTGCTACTTACGAGAAGTCGCGCGTGGCGTACACAAAGACGAGCAGCTAATTTCGACCGAATCGTCTCAACTACTTCGTATTCCTACATCAATAAGCCGGCCCAACACGCCTTCTACGGTCCACGGTCGTCGGATGATTGGCAAAATCGTTGTCGATGGCTAGAAACAAGTATCCGAATTGGTAAGGTTGAACATTTGCACTGGCCTCTCACCCTACACTAATGATATCTCGCCCCCTTCATTATTAGTCAGAAGACCAAGCAACAGGAATATCTATTCACTCACCAATATTGGGCAAAACTTATTTTTTTTCCATTTTCATAGCTCGCGAGTTTAGCACCTATTCACGTACAAGTGGACATTTATCGGAACTTTACCGATAGCTTCCACAATAACTACGCATACAGGGAAAACTCGACATTGGCGATCAACTTCTAAGCTTTCACATTAAACACTGTGTCTTTGTTTTATCATTACTCTGCTGTCTCCCTAGTAAGTCATTAACTGGTTGTACCTTGACAGAATTTGAGCTGTCGAACTGCCCTCCAAGCTCAACGTATGTGGGAAAACCGAATTCCAAGAAGTATCTAGTTGCACGAAAAATGCTTGTCTGCATAGTGCGATATTAGCACACATTTTTTATACTTTGTAAAAGCTATGAAGCAAGGAAGAGCGCGTGTGGCGTAGTGGTCAGAGACACCCTACACAACACACATATGGAATCGATTTCGGCGCCCATGGCCCACCAAGCCTTGCATTCCTCCAAGATCGGCAATTTGGTATCAGATTTGTCTAGGAGGGTAGCAGCACTATGTCGATACGTGGGTAGGCCATCGCGAGTCACTGTAAAGGCTAGATATGTATTAAATCACCTACAAACAATGCTTAATAAAGTCGAATGCATGGCGCATCCCTCAGGGAACGACCAACGCCGAAAACTTTATCTTTAATCCTTTTATAAAGCGATGCGCTCATTGTCCTTTAGCTACAGAGAATCTATCGTTTTCGTCGAAAAAGCCATTATTTCTTATGTTTAAATCGCTGAGGGGTTCACCGATTTTCTGGCCTTCAAAAAAAAATTCCAACGTTTTTCTAGACTTTAAAAAAAATTATCAACAATTTTCAACGAAACCAAGACTGGTTGTGTATGTGTTTAGCATATAACAACCAAATAATTTCCATTGCTTCTACACAAAAACACACAAGTAGCTACACACAGTTCTACACAACTGGTGGTTTGACTTTTTTACCTACCGGGTCGAAACGAAATCACTTGCTCTTGTGAGAAAACACTAGAAAAAAAGTTAGACGAGTAACTAAGCGACGAAAATCTTTTAGACTAAGGACTAAAAAAAAACAAGAACCACTACCCGATGTTATCTCGATCTTTGTCCTCATAAAATTTTCCACTCATACCAGATAACGCATAAAATTAGACTTCCAAAGCAGACTTTCCTTCAACCTTGGGATGGGTAGTCAATAAGTATTCCACCATCGATAAGCTAATACGAGTTTGGCAAAAAAGACATCGAAAAGAAAAAGACGACACGAACACACTGTGATCAATCGACTTCACCAGACCGGGTTTCCGGGTTTGCAGAAGGAGAAGGCGCCGAAACATTGGCCATGCAAGATCACTTTTTTCAACCTTCTGCTAGCTTATGTTGCTTGGTGCTTGATACTTAAATGGCTCGTCCTCACTGGTTGTGTGTACCCCAGCATAATCTCCATTCTTCGGAGATTTGCTGACTAAGCCATTATGGTTCTCTGAAGTCCCGAGGTCAGCCTGGTAAAAGTCTGCTCCAGGTCTTCACCAGGCTGTCGCAGCCCTTGTGGATCAGAGGAAGATTTACCACTATTCGACTTTGATACCAGGACGGTGGTGGATCCTGGTATTGGTTTACTCTTAGCTGGGCTTTCTGGTAGAAACGCCGGACTCCTTCTCAGCTTGGAAGACGCTGCAAGAGGATGAATCTCCGGCTCTACATCGCAGCCCGACACCCAGGAACACCTTCCACCCACGATAAGGCGGCAAACCGTTGGGAAGGTTAGCTTATAAATAGAACTAATTATATGTTATAAACAACCCTTGTTGAACTAACGCGAGATTGTTGCTAAATAATCGGTGATTTCCCTTCATCAGAGCCTGATCACCACGCTACATCGGTATACACCTCTATACTCTAGCAAGACAGATGGAAATTACATATGTTCCTGTAGAATACACAAATCTTTTGCAATACATGCAGTAATGGTTATATTGAGGAAAAGGTCAGACCACTTTGTACAGGCATAGAAGAACACCTAGGTGGGATGTGAAGAGCTAGCTCTCATTATGCATGATTGTTTATAATACAAAATAGTCGAAGACCAGCAACAAAATGTATGAAAAACTTCGGCGGGGCACGAAGTAATTGCAATCTTAGACTTCAGTTTTTATTACAACATACAGTACATTTGCTAACACATATGTCACTAGGAGAAAGTGTCTTTACATGGAATTCTTGGCCTTGGCGAAACCGATGAGCTCTTTACCGAAGTCAAAGGTATTGCAGAAGGTGCGGATCCAGGGATCGCCGAGAATCCAGGATGGTCCGAAGCCACCAAAAAAAATGGAAGAGAGCAAGAGCTCACTAAAACTCACAGTTTAAAAATTTTCACCATATAAGATTGATGTGATCAATAATTAACGAAGCAGACAGTGCAGTCATTTTCCTGTGCATCGATCAGCAGATGAAATTACACTCTATTTAGTCGAAATGCATTTGCTAAGGAGCAAATTCCATTGGCTGCATGGCTCGTCATAATATGGGTGCTTTTATGAAATCAATCCTTTAATGCTCGCTTGGAAATGAAAATTAATGCCTCAAGCCAGCCATATTTTAAAACTGCTCAAAACTGGTCCTTTACTTCCTTTATGGCTCTAGAAATCATTAAATGTATAAGCACTCCAAGATTTAGATCGAGCACATACTCCTCAGATGTTATATTGTATTCGATGCCGTTGATGGTGAATTCCAAGTCAGGTTTTGTCATCATTTTCGAGCAGTTAACAGTGCAGATATGCTTTTCATGATCAAACTTGACGCCTGTCTGATTAATTACTGCTCTCATGATTCCAAATGGTGTTCCAATCCACGAAGTACCAGTGTCGGAAATGACCTACGCGAGAGAAGTTCTATTAGAAATTCGAATTTAAGCTCCGCTATTTTACCCTGACGAACTCGCTGCATTATTAAAGTATTATTATTTGTTTCATGGAAACAAATTTAAAGAATCAAGGTGCCCCCACTGTCACCGACCACCCACATCATAGATCCTTTCCGTTGAGTAGCTTCCAATCGAGAAACCACTAATAGCAAACTGCCAGTACGTTTTCGACGTTAGCGAAACATAGTCGATTTTCTCTTCGCAATTAGTGGAGTCGATGCCGCCGTAAGTAATCAGACCGCCGTTGCCTCCGAAGCTTATATTAAGCTAAAAGTACATTCTTCACACCTCTAAACTGCTTTCATCATAGTACGCCTTTATGTACTACTATGATTTTTTCTGGAGCCGATAGGTGCCCTATCACCTTCTTCGGTGGCCTTTCGTGAGCTGTTCTGCACACTAAGCGAAATTAAAATAGGCGAATAAATCTTTCATAGTGCTATTCGATATACTACCCTAAATACTTTTTTTCTTGCTTCCATTACCTTCTATTGGCAAATATTACCCTGAAGAAAGCAAATATCCTTTAGGATTCATAGACAAGTAAGTGACTCAGAAATTAATCAAAGCTCGCAATTTACGTGTACAACAGATAAAACGGAATTTTTATAGGTTTATCACTTCAATACACGTTGTTCAAAACGGGTGCATGCGGCGCAGTGGTTGGAAGCGCCACTGCGACCACACACGCGGAAACGATTCTCGCTCCCATGGCTCACCAAGCCCTCCATCCCTCTGGGCTCGGAAAATTGGTACCAGACTTGCCTTGGAGGATAGCAGCACTGACTCGATATATTGGTAGGCCACCTCGAGTAAATGGAAAGATCAGATATGCATTCAATCACCTCCAACGATACTTAATGAGGTCGAATGCATGGCGCGTCCCTAAGGGATTGACCAACGTCGAGAGTTTTATTCATTATCCTTTATCACTTCAATACATTTGCGACAATCTTAGGCAACGGCAATGGGTCACAGATAGCCAAAAAATCTTTGTCCTTGAGATTTGCAACAACCATATTTTATCGTTTTCTTGGGGAGCACACGAGCTTGTCATTAGTTTAACATTCATTCACAATAGCTGATATTTCAGCGACTTTCGCCTTTTTTGCAGCCTGGAAATGTCCAGCCAACATCAACCTAGTCAGCCAAATATCTCTACAGTCTCAACAGAAAAGTAACGATACATAATTTTTAATTGAACTGAAAACAAAATGGCTTCTTTGCACACTCATCGCTTTCTACGAGTCTTCCACTGAGTATTTCACGTCGAGACCAACAGGTCAGAGTTCGCATTGAGGTGTAATATGCCTTGCTCATATTAAAATATCAGTCTTAAATATTGTATGAGATGACTAGTTATAACGAAGTACTCATTCCTGCCGTTCATTTTTGGATTTTCCGAGTTTGTCCAGAATGTTTCGAGAATTTTGCGCCCTTGAGCCTTCGATTCCTATGCGAGCATGGTAACTTCTACTTCACAATATTCTTCGTTAGCTTCCGTATCACACAGAGAAACACCTTATCTTTCAATGTGAACTTTTTGTGGTTTCTGCACGTTGGCTACTCAGTGGAATACTCAAACAAAACGGTGAATGTGCGAAGCAGCTATTTCGTTTTCAGGGCCACTTCTTGGTTTCGTGATTATTTTGCTTTCGTTATGGAGGTGTTTGGCTGAATGGCTGATTATTTTGCAGTTAACTTACCCCTTCTAGGCTATGAAGTAAAATAAGAGTAAAATAGCATGCGGGCGCTTGGTCATCAACAGAACGGTAAATTATTTGACCGTTACCGAGGTTAACAACAATATCGTTCTTACGAACGGCGTTTCACCTCAAATTGAATGCTATGAATGCGAAGGAAACGCAGCAGGAAGGAGTGGCCTAGTGGTGGTGGTGCATCACGAGCGCAGGGACCATTCGACCTCTCTCGGTTTCGTCAAGTAAGAAAAGTTCAAAGATCTTTGCGGACGATGGCTAGGAGGAAACGAAAAGAATCTAAGAAGTATTGAGGGTCGCACAGCAGATGTGAAGATGTGTGATGTAAAATAGACAAAAAATGAAAAAAATGAGACAGTGCCAAAAATATTTCACCCTTCGCATCTAAGCAATTACATTACAGATTGGAGCGAAATCATGGATTGAAATAAGCCCCGTTAGGTTCTACAGATCGTGACAACGGGAGGAGTGCGAGTAACTCAATTTTCAGAGGTGCATCGAGCGCTATGGACTCGTTACCGTTGGTTGTACAAATGGGTACTAAACTTCTCTAGAAGAGTAGAAGACACTGACTTGATAAGCAGCAATCAACAATGGTCAGTCAATCAAGTCATTGCGGCTAGGTTGAACATGAATTTAATCACATCTTAAATCCTTAATGGAGTGTACACCATGATGCATCCTCAAAGGATTTATCAACTCCCACGGTTTTACGCTATTGTAGTTTTCTACAGTTTCTAGTTATAGATAAACGCATAGTTTTCTAAAGACTACCATTGTTTTTTCGAGGTTTTTTGTAGAGAGCTATGTCTTTGAAACCAAGACGACTGCGCAATCAATATTCAATGCGAAAGGACTCGAGGAGATGCACGAGTGTAACTTTGGTGTTTCAAGCTGCTTCACTGCACGCGTTAAAAATCTAGCATTTGAAGTCGTACTTTTATTGTTTTATTTAGGAATGCTTCATCTATCTAGTAATTTATTCTTCTTAACAGCGCACTACCGCCCAATGGAAAGAATGTTGATGGTCGCTATCAAATCATGATGTTGGACCCTATGTCACCAGTGCAAGAGCATTTTGCAGAGATTGCTGTGCCAGAATCACTCATGCAGCTTTGCTTTGTAAGGCGGTGAAGTGAAGTAGGTGAGTACGAGTCTCACGTTGTAAGTGAAGAGCAAAAAGCGATCCCACCGGAGTGCCAGGGATTAGGATGCTAATTCGCTTATCGTGACTAGATGTCGAAAAACAATCCAAATTTTCTTAAAAACTCACGTGGTGTGAGTTTAAAAGATTTTGAAGNCGCTTATCGTGACTAGATGTCGAAAAACAATCCAAATTTTCTTAAAAACTCACGTGGTGTGAGTTTAAAAGATTTTGAAGCAAAGATATCTATCATTAGTGATTTTATGAAGCTTTTCAACCTAAGTAACGATTTTGCCTTTAAAGGGTGCAAATTCCTGCTAAAACAACACAAAGAGTTCCTCTATCAGGTTAAAACAGGTTTTTGTTTAAAAACTCGGGTATATAAATCTTATCAACTTAAAGAATCCGCTGTTTAAACACAACGCAATTCGAGGAGATGGCTCACTGAAGAAGACCTGACTCGACACGAAGGCGAAGCTGCCACGTTGAGACGAATAACAAGCGAGGACCATCGACTCGGATCATCGGCTCTGAGGAAGACGAAGTCGTCGAAACATTAGCCGAAAATAAACATTATTATCAACCTCTTGTAAGCTCATCAAAGAAAGAATACAACGCAATTCCTCAGTCAAACTGACCTTCCTGTCTAACCAGACGGTGAAAATAGGGGCGTCAAGGACAGGAAAGGGGTTCTGCATTGGAGGAGTCACCTAAAACACCAACGTTTCTGTATTAGTCAGCATTTTTTTAAGTTTCGAAACTTTATCGCTTTATTCTTAGAATATTTGGACCCACATTTCCCACAGAAATCGTTGGCCAGGCAAGCCCAAGAATGCCATCGATTGGCACATATCCAAAAATATTTGCAATCTGTTCAGCAACAACGAACTCTTACTGTTCAACTGTCAGTCCTGTAATGTCAACATTATCCACCACTCTCTAAAAGTTTTCTTATCAGAAAACGAGATCAACTAACTAACACGAATATCCCAATAAACTGCGCTCAAGTGCACACTTAAATGGAAAACCCAGTAACGTTTAGAATAAAATCTAGAAGGTATTAAAGCGCTCGACATATTGCATTAATGCAGCACTTACTACTTTACTACGATATTCCATCATACACCGCTCAACGAATATCAAATGCAAAGAAAGTAATGATAAGCGGTAAAGTCTTCGACGTTGATCAATTCGTGAATGATGCGCCCATTCGGCTCCGTTAAGTATAGATAGCGGTAAAGGCATTCATATCTGACCTGTCAATGACTCGCGGTGCCCAACCAATATATCGGGTAAACGTTGCTATCTCTCCGGATAAGTCTGGTACCAATTCGCCGCCACTGAGAGATGGACGGTGTGATGGGCCTGTACCGCTTGATCGAGCCCATATGTGTTGCAGGCGCCTCTAACCACTGCGCTATATGCACCCCAAAGCCCCCACTCCACTCCTACCCCAGATACCATGCATAGAAAGTATGGCTGCAGATAAATTTACGACCTGTTAGCGCTGAAAGTTCGTGTTATGATGAATGCACTACTATCTAGGAAAAAATCGTCTGCTTCATGGCTTCCCATTCGTTGTCCACAAGTGATAAGGGTATAAATATCGCATGACTAAAATTCTACTTAGTGAAATGATAGTATTACAGATTGTTGACGAAAACTGTCTTTCTGCAGTTGTTTCGAGCCTATAGGTACGATAGCGTTAAAGCGTCTTTGGTCACGCCCACGACGTCATGTAAATGATTTGAGGTGTAGCGAAATGATCACCGGCAAAAGAGACGGTATCCTTTCCGATCAGCCCATCAAACCAACCAAAACCGTACGTAATAGCTATGGATCGATTCTCTACAGAAAACGTTGACGACTCCGTTGTATTAAATTTGCGTCTTGTGTAGAAGCTGAGGAAGCCATTACAAGGTCCTGTATCGCATGCAGAGTCAATCACCCAAAGGTTCAATGAGCCGGTATCTGGTACGACAGAGACGTTTTGGCCTAAAACTGAATGTGCTGTAAGAGCATCAGATCCTATCGATAGCAAATGAGCAGAGACTAGAGCTGTGCAGACTTTCAGTAATAGAGGGAATCATTTGAATTCTCTGAGTACTTTAGCGCAACGGTTTACCTAAAACGAAAAGAAGGGTGACGAAAACTCATTCTAATGATATTTTTCGCAAAATGAATTAGATAGGATGACAAGAAGTAAAATAGAAAAGGTGGGAAAAGTAACTGACGCAGTGGAAATCCTCAATACAAATTATTTCGCTTTAATTTTTATATTCTGCCTCGCTCAATTTTTACGGCAGGGTATTAACCGAAATAAAGCCACAGCGTTGCTGAGATGTTTGCAAAACTCCGGACCGCAGGTGCCTGTGATGGAAAACGAACGCGTTATTACCCTTTCCGGGGGCTAACGCATTCACCACCACGCCATTCTGGTCCTTTGTTTCGCCTATCTCTCAACTAGTTCTACCGATCAGTGCCGTCGGCAATCACCCGTTAACGGGATTGATCTGGGGAGCCCATAACGTCATTGAACCCACTTAAGCTGAGGCTGTAGTTGAAAACACAATGTTTTACTTTTATATTCTGCTTAGTTCAATTTTTACGGCAGGATAATACAACCATAGATAGATAGAGCTAGCTGAGAGAAAGGCGAAACAAAGGGTCTCAATGGTGTGGTGGTCAACGCGTTAGCCCCCGGAAAGGGTAATGAACGCGTTCGTTCCTCACCACAGACACCTGCGGTCCGGAGTTATGCATATATCTCAGCAACGTTGGTGGTTCTATCTCGCTTAATACCCTTTCGTAAAAATAGAACTAGGCAGAATATGAAAGGTAAAACATTTTGATTCTAATTACGGCCTCAACTTAACTGGGTTCAGTGCCGATGTGGGCTCCACAGATCAATCCCGTTGACGGCTGATTGCTGACGGCACGAATCTATAAAACTACCTGAGAGACAAACAAATTATTTTTTCCATTTCATTTTCATTTCGTTTGACCCGTCTTCACACTTACTGTGCGAATCCCAGCACATCTCAAATCCAATTCGTTTCCTTGCATCCATCGTCCACGAAGGTCTTCCAAGTTTTTAGGCGTGGCTTCGGTTGCTGCTTGAGGATTTTATTTCATCTTTGAATGTCATGGAATGCTGGTAGAGAAATCCTCCCTGGAGTCCTGATATAACCGGGCTGGAGCGTGCCCAATTAGATTGCAGAGAGTGGTTTGTTCTCAGACAAGTCCAGTGCCAATTTCTTGACCCAGGAGGGATGAGAGGCCTTGTTGACCCGGAGTTGAATCGAAATAGCACCATGCTCCTCAAGACATACAAATTATTTAGAATTTTCTGAAAAAAACTTGGGATTATTCTACAATAAATCATGGGCTCAAAATCTGAATTGAACACTTTGCAACGCAAACAATTTTTTGAACGGCGTAATTCTCCATTCCTCTCTCACTCGCGCTCTCTGTACGTTTGTCTGTCTCTTTCTCCGTCTATCTGTTTTTCAAGGAAAGTTTAAAAGGCAAATCTATTAAACTCTTCGCACATTTCGTGAACTTTTTCTCAATGAAAATGTTGTGAAAAGACGACGGATGTCGTTTAGTAAAAACTCTGCAGCACTACTGATTTCCTCCTCACTTCCTTCTCCTTCTGTTTTCTTTTTTTTTCAAACTGATTTTACTAGGAAAGCCGTAGAATATTTTTTATTAATGCATGCTTAAAGAAGTAGCACTGACACACTTTTTGAGCCACTCAAAAACTAGAGCAAAGCTTTCGTAAGGGTATTCCTTGAGAAAATCCGCTGGAAAAAATGATCATGAGATATTTCTTTCAATGAATACTGGAGGGTTTTTTCTGATCTGATAACATTACTCAGTGGTTACACACCTGGTGTCCCAACCGTGATGTTGCCTGTGTAAAAGTCATCGTAGTAGTCCATGATCGTCTGCGATTACTTCTTGCGTGCTTCGGCACGGTGTCGGTTTTCTTCTTTCAGATATTTATGATAAAGATCAACACTTAAATACAAGGCAGGCTGAAGATTTTAAAAACTTCTAATTTTTTCATTCTTTTCTTTTTTTTGGAGTTTATGATCAATAAATTGTGGTTCTTGCCTCCGAGCCTTACGAGTTTTTCGCTACACAGAAGAAACAGCGTCTACTGATCGACAACTATTGATTGAAAAAATGCAAAGTATTAAAAAAAAACAACAGCTGAAAAACATTGTTTAACCGAGATAGATTTTAAAAACGAAATAGGAGCTGTTCTACAGGTTCTTGTAGGAAGAAGTGTACTACCAGGATGGTGACTAATGGGAAGAGGGAGGCGGTGCAAATGTGCCTTCCATTACAATTTAGAATTTGTGCCAAAATAGAGCATTATTTCAAGTTAAAACCGGAATGCCTTTCCTTAGGAACTTAGTAATAGACCAGTGTATAGATCGTACTTGATGAGCTGAGCAATGAGAGACCCCGACGAGAGAGTCTCCATAGTGACCGTCTTCGCGTGGAGAACGGCTATCAGAGTGGTGAGAACGAGAATGAGCATCATTACTGAAAAAAGGATTTCCTACAAATCAAATATGTTAAATTTCAAAAGCAAATAAAAAGGAAAAAAATATCCTTTAATTCCACGCTTTTTATATATTTTCTCGGCAAACCTTGTTAGGTTTTTCAGTGCTTCTTCCCAGCACATTCATGATAGAGCATGAAAATTTGTCTATCACTTTGAATAGCTGCTCTTGCTTTAAGTCCACAGAGCACCTTTTTCAGTAAAGCATTTTGCTCAGGGTTACCACCAGTGAGCGATCGGTTTTAACTGGCTTTTGAAACTAGGAAACGTTTGCCGTATCAGGTGGCACTTTTTGTAGGAATGAAAATGAGTTCCACTAAACAAACTCGATATCGCGATCAACCCTGAGTAATTTTGCCGTAAATGTAATCGAAATGGCAATAGATCCATAAAGGATAAGAAAAAGCAGAGAATGGCGGATAAGGAGCGTTGCTGGCTTTTATGACGAACTGCGCCGTCGAAGAAGATTTGTGGTCGGTGACCTTTCAGAATTTCTCACATGGAAGCTGATAATTTTGCAATACGGCACACTAATTGACAACACTGTTTCATTCGTTGAAGGGGCAGTGAAAATTACCTGATGATGGGAGAAATTTTTGCTAAAAAATGAAGAAGTAAAAGAAAATACAAGCTGGCACAAGGTGATGCGCCGGCTGCAAATTATCGTGTGAAACAGTAAAGTTTCCGCTTGGCCAATTTTTACGTGTTTTCGCATGAACTGCCGCTTTGTTGTCAACCCTTCCAGAAACGATACATAATAAGGCAACCCACTCTGGTTAAGGCTAAATTTCTAGCATAACCGACGAAGATTACATTTCAAGCGCTTCAGCTAGCTTAGCAGTACAGGGTAGTAGTACTAATTTTCATCAACCTCTTCTTAGCTAATAATCAAAGACGTTATCATAAACAACACATAGAAAAACTATATCTTGGGTACAAGCCACCTTATGCATTGGGCTTAATGCACATCTTGGACGTCCTCTTGTCAGTGGGATCGACCGGCTTCTGCAAAGATGAGGGCACATTTCTTCAATTTTGTGGAAATTCTGAGAAAATTATAGAACACATCTGTACATCCGAAGAAGGAAGACTAAAATGAGCCATATGGAAAGCTGGACCCTTGAACCGACATCCATTCTTGACAGGATATCTCGAGCTAAATATAGTAAGCCTACGTATTTTTGGCAAAAATGTTGACATGCTTGTAACTTATAACAGAGCGACTAGTTTGAATGAAGCAGTGAATTTAGATGTTTGGCCGAATAAATTCGACTCATAAAGGAGTGTGTTAGATGGGGCTAGGATTAATAAATACAGACTGGGTTTAAAAACCTTGCTTAAAAATTAGATCAATAAAAGGAGCTAACCATTAGTCTCCTCAGGGACGCGCACCAATATGCTACCTGGACTCCAATAATCACAATTGTCGCTTGGCCATACTTTCGATCCTTACTAGACGACTAGAGACTATACACAGTGTATTCAAGTGGTATATGTGCTTTCAAAAGAGTGAATTATCAAAGAGATAAATAACAGAAGAACAGCGTGCTCAACATTTATTTATCCCTCTGTAGTATCCTGTATTGGTACTTTATGGCGTTTTGCTACAACATTATATGGGAGGTGATCCACGACCATGTGTCATAATACAGCGGCACTAAATACTGCACAGCATAATCTCAAAAATAGGAAAATAAGAGATTTCTGGACTGCTATGAAACCGACCATGAAACGCTACTCAAAAGTCGACCTGAAGAAAGAAAAGCCATACGAAAAGATCGTAGAATTTCCATAACACTTCTGTGGAGTCACTGTTTACTTGAATCAATGGAAAGCAGATTTGCCAAGTCCTGCGAAATATATTGGTGCCCCAGTGTGCTGATGTCAATGAATACGCCTCCATTGTGGTTTTGAACAACTCTGGACGAAGCATCATCGAATTCGGTCCCGAGACAGGACGATGAACTGGATAATTCAACTAGTCCCAGTTGCGCGACTGCTGATTAGATTCTAAGTGTTCGCAATGTCATATAAACACATGAAACAGTGCTAAGTGTAATTAGCACAATTCGAATCTCAAAGAAGACTCTTCTGCGAGCAGAGCTGTTCACCCAGTTATAAATGTGTACATTGTTCCAACTTTTATTACCACAGTAAAATAACTTTGCAGCTATAGTACCTCATGCAGAGCGATAATGTCTAATGAACTAAACAGCTCCAAACCTAAACAAATCAACAGGACGCCGTACTTATTTGGAAAAAAATTATGAAACTCCTGGAATATCTAGAATCACTAATTTTGCGCGTAAAATAATTTATTCTTCTACTTATCCATGTGACTGAACAAATAAATGCACTTGCTTTGTAGAAATGTGCGAACTCACTAACGGGTGGAAATACCTTGAGCTGAGGCATTTGAAGCAAAGCGGCGCTAAATATTGCTTAAGATCCGACATTGTTTCGAATAGGTGGATGCAAAATCGTTTAAGAAACAGAATTATTTAACTGAGATTTTACCAGAGTTGATGTTCGACTGTATCCCGTTCCCATCACCTCATTGACTGATACTTTGGTAGTATAAATAGTAATGGTCACGATAAAATTTAGCAAGACAGACTAACTCACTAAGAAACAAGTCGATGTGGCACTTAGCAATTTTTACCCTTTTTCTGCAACTCATCAAATTACGCTGAACCAGTTCCAGTGAAGTCACACTGAAATGATGACACCGGTCTGTTCTGAATATAATCTGAAAACGTGCTAAATCCCGTTGTAGTAATGATCCATTAATCTAAAAAAAAAATCCAGCTTCTTACTTTGCTTATTTCTTTGAGCTTTTCTTTGTTTTCTTTTTCAGCACGTTTCCGTTTCTTCTGAGAACCGGAATTTTCTCCAAATAGTTACGATTTGCACAGAATTCCTGCAGACTTCACATGGATTTCATACATCACTGCAATGGTGACGTGCAAACAGTGTTAAAGCTTATTAATAACAACAGTGATGAGTC